CGATTAGGGATGGGATTGAGAAGATTAAGCAATGGCAGATGCAATTGGAGATTGTTTTGTGTGCACTGGACAATCAGAGGGCCCTTGGAGAAGGCCAAATTCGACGTGCTAAAAAGGCCTTGACCGACTTGGCTATCGGAATGCTTGATGAGAAAGAATCAAATACGACTCTAGCGCATAGAAATAGATCTTTTGGGCCCAATAATGTGGCGAAGGAGATTAAATCCTTAGGCCATTTTCGATCGCTCTCTTGGAGTGTTTCGCATTCTTGGTCTGCCGCTAGGCAGTTGCAAGCAATTGGGAATAACTTGGTTGCTCCTCGGGCCAATGAGATTTTAGCCACCAATGGACTAAATGTGGCCGTTTTTACGATGAACTATGTGCTCTTTTTCGTGATGTGGGCTCTCGTGGCTGCGATCCCTTGTCAAGACCGTGGCCTTCAGAGCCATTTTTCGATGACTAGACAGTTCGTTTGGAGTACTCCAATCATCTCACTCCACGAGAGGATTTTGGAGGAGTCGCGAAAAAGGGACAGGAGAAATTCTTGTGGACTGTTGAAGGAGATTCGCTTGATTGAGAAATGTGCACAACACATGAATGAGTCAACGGATTCTGTTCATTTCCCTTTGAACGAGTTGAAGGAGGGAGAGATAAAGGAGAGAATTCGGGAATTAAGGCGAGTGTATGGAGCTGTAAAGGACGGATTGGATCCATTAGAGCGCCAAGTAAGAGAAGTATTTTGTAGGATTGTACGCACAAGGACAGACGGTCTTGATTCCACTAGACGCCCAAATAGTCATGATTAACACAGTTCGAACTTAGGCCACGAATAAAGTTGCTTTCTGCAGTTCATGATCTCGTATATCAAATTTTTGAGTGAATTTGTATTTGAAATGTGGAATGATTTTGGTTCAGGGTTATGTTTATCATACTGCTGGTTAATATTACATGTAGAAACTGCAGTTCTGAACTCAATGATGTATTGTGGATGGATTCGAGTCGGTTTTGTTTCTTTAATCAAAGTAAAGCATTATTCACAATAAATCATTGTCCTCAATACATAGTGAATGCCTCAATTTATTCTTGAATTGATGGTCACGCTTTACTTGTTTGCCTGCACGATTGCCTTTCTAGGCAAGAAATTTGCTGAATTTCCACCAAAGGCATTAAGATCCTGACTTAGAAGCAAGAATATCATAGATTCGTAATCCTAGAACACATATTGATGGAGCATTGACTGGTTTGATACATTGAACATGTCAAGTGTTATTTAGAAGCTTCACTTAACAGCAGTAATAAGTTGACACTTCTAGAATTTCAAATTAGCAGGCATTGAAACTTGTCGATTAACACCTATAGAATGAAGAGAGCTTGACTACAAGACTCAGACATCGGCATGCGGCCATCCCATGTTTAAAAGATCTGGGCTGTCCTGAAGTGTGTGGCTCCAGACATTTTGACACCCTATAATCTAATTCAAAACAACTTCATCATTGTAATTTGGCAGAAATTATGGTTCACAAATCAGTGGCCACATCAGATTCTTAGCTGAGACGTGGCTGGCACTTGTACCTACATCAATTAATACAAGTTGACATTTAGTGTACCTACTGGGAAAACTTTCAAGGCCAAGAATGGTAGAGGTCATCTCTGCATCATTCTGGCCAAGGGGAATGAGTAATGAACCCACCTAGAGCTTTAATTACCAAATTTTTTTTTTTTTGTGGGTTGGCATCCAATCTATCACACAAGTGTGCATAGATCATATATTGTACAGATTGTGCGGTTGGGTGGGCTGACTTCAAGCTTCAATGCTGAAAGATGAATGTGGCCTAACAAGATTATCTGAGCCAGAATCTGCTACCACAAATTTTTCTATTGTTGGCATAATATGGAGTCTATAGTACTGTTCAAGAAAATGAATTTAAATGGATGAAAAAAGTGAATTTTCCCTAGACTTTACCTCGTGTACGAAAAATGTTTCAAAACTTTAAATCAAACGTTGTTAGTTCATTAACTTGAGATCATGAACATGCTAGCCTCTGAAAAGAATTCTCTCAAATTATCTTCCTATTTGATGTTACTTTGACACCTAATACAACAACAAGGATAATATGACACAACTTATTGAAAGGAAATAAGTTTTTGTTGCACTTGAAGAGTGAAAGCAATTTAGAAAAATATGTGCTTTTATCCTTATTGGCACATTAGAAATCAAAATCACGTACGATGAGAAGCCACATCATCTTTATATTGTCCACATAGGACATCCGTAAGTAATTTTTTTAGAATTCCTTTTAAGGCAAATGGGGTTCACCCTATAAAGTTAGAGAACTAACGAAATTTGATTTAAAGTTGAAGGACTTTTTCACACACGGTATAAAGGGAACACCATTCAGGTTTTATCCTAAACAATTTAAATTCTTGTGCATTATTATTCAACCATGTCAAGCATTAATTGTCAAAAGTCTTTTGTTAGTTGGAATCCAATGGGATAGGAGTGGAGGTGGTGGTGGGGACGAAGACTAAGATCAACCTCGATAGATGAAAGAGGAACGGTACCCAAAGAGTTAAGTCAATACTGCATCTTCAAGCCATAATGTACTACCATAAATGTTTGTATGTCCTGTGCTTGTAGGTCCAATAAG